TACGTGGTGTATTTTCGCGGTGGTGCCATGGATTTTCTCAGAGCTACTTTTTATGAATGCTGTTTCAGTCACGCCCGGGTCGATTGCAAATTGCTTCTTACAGTCTTGAAGCAGGTACGGGTCCATTGGTGATCTTCACGCCTTGTTTGTAGCATTATTGTTTAAACTGGGTTCAATTTTGATTGATTATTTTGTTCGTACGTTGGTGATATTATGAATAGTGTATAAAAACAGGGTTTATTCATACACAACGAAAATGGATTAGTCATTCGTACGACATTTTGGCGCCTGTCTCACGGGCCTTCTTTAACGTGAACGGGGTTGGTTTCCGAAGTTCATGCGCTGGTCAGCAGCCATTGCAAGGTTTGGAGCGAAAAGGTGCACGTTTAGCCTATGCTGCTGGTTAAGTAGTTTTACCAACAGGCTTGACAATGCTTATTCATTCCTTGTAACATTCTTATTCTTTACCAGATTGGATAATTAGAGCTTCTTTGATTCGTTTGCTCAGTCAGTTTCTTTATTTATTGATGCCTGTGCAGTCAGACCATTGGGAAGCGTGACCTTTATATGCTGTTTTGCACAATCCTGCGGGGTTTTCGCATTGTTCTTTGACCTCATTTTGAGCAGTGATTTGTTTTCTTCATCTGTATAATATCTTCTAAAGCTTGGTAGTAGACAGATCAAGAAAAATGAAAAGATAATATAAAAGATCTCCGAAACTGTGCAAATAGTAGCAGAGGAAGGTTTCGTTTCCCAATGAAACGATCTCACGGAAATCGTTATAGAAACGAAGTGGCTGAACAGACGAATCGACGAGGCATTAATTATCGAATGCGGGGAAAATGTTAACCCAAATAAAGGATATGCACTTTGCACGAATTGGATAAGCCTCTTGCTAACAACTACTTAACCAACAGTACGGACTAAATGCTTTCGTTTTGGCTCCAAACGTTAAGATGGCTGCGGGCCACGGAACAGACTTCAAAACTGACCCTACCCAACTTGGAGAAGGCCCATAAGGAACGAACAGAAATGTGGTTTTGGTTAATCACCTGATTGACTAATTTATTTTCGTTGTGCATGAATAAACTGTGATTTTATACATTTTTGGGTTCAGCGTTGGGTATTCTCTTTAAAGCTGTTAGTATAACCGGTATCGGGTATAAGAGTACGGTTATGTTTGAAATGTAAGTGGGTGAAATCACGTCGCAGTTGCCGCACATGGATATAGATCTACCCAGTGCTTTTTTGTAAGAAAAAACGTGCCGAAGCTCACATCTTATTAATGTTAGTTAACAAGCCCGCATGCACCATTTTAGTGATGTTTCCGCCAACCTGCTACGTTCGACGGGGTGATTCAGGTTCACGTATTTCAAACATCAAATTTTCAAAAGTTACTTTTAAAACTTGGAAAATCCGTCGAAGGAAAAGTCCGGAAACGCGCTCTTGCATCCTAGGACAGAAAAGCACTGGATATACTCTTCAAAAATCATGCATACCTGATCAGGGCTAATTTTCACAGCAACAGTTCACTGATCGTCCTTCGCAATTAACGGACATCACCACTGTCAAGTTTCGATATTTACTGTCGCTTTTCTCGTGCGATTCTTCGCTGCAAACTTCTATACCTCTCTGTTACCTCATTATCCAATCTCAGCCGAGGTCTTTCAGCTTGGCGCATGCCGCTTCTAAGGTGCCGTTCCGTCATTGCCGAAGTGAACTGAATTGGCCTTGCGATGAAATCTGCCCCTTGTCGTTTTCGTTCTTTGGAAACTGATACATTGTCCCTCATTCTCGTGCGTCTTTTTATTTTTTCATTTCTAATCATATCCTAGATGGAAATTTTATTCGACCATAGCCATTGATGTTGGCTGTTTTCAAAGCTCACCAGTCGTTTTGGACAGAACGTCTACGCCAGACTGTCTTTCACCCCAAGTGGCGGTTCTGTGAAACATGGCCCGCTTGCAGGTTTCCTCGCTCTGCTCAGGCGCATATACCTCTTCTCCAAAGGTTTCTCCTCCGTATTGAGACTAATAACCTGTTAGAGAATCAGGGCAAATACGTAGGTGCTGTTGACGCAGATATGGGAAGACTGCCATTATATTCGTTGCGAACTTTCGTTTCCTTTTCATTTTACGAAAATATCCTACCTTTAAGTCTTTTTTCACATCCACTTTATGAAAAGTAGACATTGTTCTAATTGGAGATCGCTGCATATTAAACATGAAGCTAAATTTGTTGATCCATTAGTTATAATTACCCAAACAGCCGCTGGTATAGTTTTTATTGCGGACACTTTTCGCCACCATGTCGCTGTCATTAGCAGGAGAAAACTGATATGTTCGACAGCAACCTGCTCTGTCAAGACAGATATTAACAGAAATTCGTAAATAACAGGAAAATGAGTCTCGGATCTGAAATCTGAAGTACTTATGACGTCAGTCCGACATGCAGTATCAGTTTCTCGTAACTTCCCGGCTTTTGTTTGTCATAATCGATGAAGAGTAGTGATTGCATCTTTGATGTTTCCATGCCAGAATATAAAGGAACTCATTTATCGGAAAACTTTATCTTGAATGACATTGCAGATTGAAGCATGGCGGAGGCAGCATATATCAGCAGCGCTGTTTTCTTTTGTCATTAGACTCGTTTTTTTGTCATATTTTCCTAGACTTTAAGATGCTAAATATTTCATTTCGTTAATCCATATATGAATACCAGGGTGGCTGCTGTAAATTTTTGAATAGGTCATTGTATAAGCTTTGCCCATGTCGCAACTTTCCCTTTATCCATCAAGTTCAGCGCCGATTAGCCATAGTCGTTTAAAACTTGCTCAGTAAGACTTCAGCAGTGGTTCATGCGTTTGTTCAATACCGTTCATTGTTTTTGCGGCGACTCAGAACCATTTGCGTGAGGTGATTAGACGGGTTTTTTATTGACATCATAAGATGATCAAAGTTTCTATTCAACGTTTGTGCCGTACCTTTGGTGAATCAAGTCTAAATTCCGGCCAGACAGTGACGATTTGTACAAATCTGACGTTTCCCCATGTCAGTAGTTTTGTGATACCACCAATGTCATTATCTAGTGCTTGATTCAGCCGTAAAGTTACCTCGATTTCTCACATTTATTCACCAGAGCTTCGTTTGTTGTTGCTAAAGGTCTGTTTGCCACCCGGCTGCTGATATTGCCTTCACGTGTAACGAATGTTATATTGATGGCTTCTTGACAGAGATCTCCACCGCTGTCTCGTAAGTTCACACGCACGATAGGTCGACAAATAGGGAGGTTTAGATTGCAGCGGTTACCAAACTTTGGTTTTCGTATTAGTGACCCGCGTGGTTGAGAAAATTGCACTTTCTTATTAACTTCATTTTTATCAACTCTTCCATAACTGATTCATTCTGTCGTTGTTCTCATTCTTTTGATCATTCATCGTGAATTATTTAATTATTACTGTTTATACCTCTGAAATTGCTGAATCACGAAATTTAGGTTAAAATGCTGAACTGCGTAGGCGCGATCGCGTGTTTGGAAGACTTCATTATGTGGGTACATTTT